AGGAAGACCCAGGACACGCTGGAGGGACTATGTCTCTCGGCTGGCCTGGGAACACCTTGGAGTTCCCCCGGAGGAGCTGGAAGAAGTGGCTAGGGAGAGGAAGGTCTGGGCCTCCCTTCTGAAGCTGCTGCCCCCGCGACCCGACCCCGGATAGACGGAAGAAAATGGATGGATGGATTTCAAAACCGTGACAAAAATTTTGAACAGCGCAAACATTTTGAACCTTGTAACATACATTCCCCCTCCTCCTGCTTGTTCTTGCGGCATGGCTCCTGGGGTGGGTTGGACCATGAGCATGCCTGCCGCTGAGTCTTGGGGGGCCGAAAAGCAAGACTTCACTGCTGCAGTGGATGGTTGGATCCAACGGCGAGAGGTGGTGCTCCACCTCTGCCGCCTCTGCTGCCGCCGTGGTCCTTCTTTGGAGCTGTCACGACGGTCTCTCCAGTGGCGGGAGGTGCGGAAGGCAGGACGAGAAGACTCTTTGCTGCGTCTAACCTGATCCAGCGAGTCTCCAGAGATTCGCAGCTGCTCCAGCAGAGAACTAAATTGGGGCCCAAACAGTCCCTCCGGGCAGAGGGGACCCTCCAGCAGGTCTTTCTTTATTTCCTCCGGGATTGGAGACGGAGCCACATCTGGTGCTGAAGAAGAGTTTGCCAACCAGCGATACGGGAGGCACAGACTGCTGATGCAGTGCAGAGATTGAGGATTGTGTCAGCGAAGTTACAGAACTCCTTGGAGTCCTCGGGTGGAATCTCCATTTCCCTAGCCTTTTTGAAGAGGGCAAAGGCCAGAAAGGCAACATTGTTTGTTGCAGCTGCAGATTGCATGGCACACTGATGGGACCTGTCGGTGAGTCTGGCTGTGATCTGGGGCCTCATGTATAAACGGTGCGTACGCACAAAAAGGTTGCATACYTCAGGTTGTATGCCCACGTTGGGATGTATTAAAACCAACGTTGCGTGAACGTGTGCGTATATTTACGCACACTTTTCACCTGCCGTGAGAATGTGCGGCAGTCACGCAGTTTTTCAATCGACAGTTTTAACCCACAAAGTCACGAATCTGACCTGAATCCACAGAAATATGACTCTGTTGTGTTTTCTGGATGTAAGGAGCTGTGATGATTCCTCAGCTCCACAAGATGCAATGGATTTATTGCTGCGCAAGTTGTGCGTATATGTCAGCTCTTCCCAGTCCCACATCGCGGCAGAAACTCGCAGCGCTGCGAGTCACTCATTTCTTCACATCAACTATCTAATAAATATTTTTCTAAGTTCTACAAAAGTAATAAGCTTTTCTGTGTTTACAGTCATTTATTAAAGATGTGTAAAGGTGGAAATGTCTGTCAGCCTCACGCGCCGCTGAAAATAACAGCACACGTGCGTACACACCAACACCCACACACACCTTTGTGAGTGGCAATCTCATTTTTACACTCCACTTATTTAGACAGTTTTCTCACTCATTCTCCATTTAATTAATATTTTTCCTGCATCTAAAAATAATTTCTGATCCCACAGAGAGGACAATCTAAGGAGAATCTCACACGCTGTACACATTTACATCTATTTTACATATTTAAATGGAGGCGTGTCAGGGGAGGTGTCTCACGTGCACTAAGTTCCACTTTCATTGGGATGTATAACGGAAAAGTGCGCAGGAACGTGCATGTGCACAGTTTTACACATCTGAATATTTTGGTGCAGCGCACTTTTCTAAATTTGTCCGTTTGTCAACTTTTAGTGTGAAAGCTGCGCACTCCTTTATGCATGAAGCCCCTGATCCTGGGGGGAGGGGGGCACAGGCCACCATCCGGCGTGCCAAGCAACTCTCACTCCAAACACCGCCGACAGATTAGGTTCCAACGGTGGAACCGGTGGGAATCCATGGTCCATCAGTTTCTCCACTTTAGTGATGGGAGTGAAGGTGGAAACTGGTGCCTTCCACTCCAAGGATTCAGCTGCTGCTCCGGACAAGTAGACTGTCATCACAGGAAAATGGAGCCACACCAGATCTCCCTTGCTTGACTGCGGTGAATCAAATTTTCCTGCCAAGTTGTCCGTAGGTGGGGGCGCTTGTGGCGGGGGAACAGGTATCCCCTTCGCTGCAGCTGCTTTGGCGATGATGTCGGGGAGGACGCAAACCAACACGCCCATCGCCGGGAGTGGGGTTGAAGCAGACATAGGCTGGCCGACCGCCTGTGATGACGCACCTGGCCGAAGCTCCTTCGCCGGGAGGAGGAGGACCGGAACGTTGGATGAGGTTTCGTGTTAGAAGCAGACTCGTCTGAGTCTGGTCTAGCGTCAAAGATATCCAGGACCATCGAGCGGATAGTGCTCAGAAACCGGAAACTTGTCATCCTACAGCGGAGTGAAGATAGCTAGCTGGCACTTTGTTTCCTCCGCCGCTTTTTTAGGACTAAAATTTTGATTTTCAAATTTTAGATTTTTTTTAGACTTTTTAAGACTCGGCATGTAAGTCTTTGATGCTGAAGAAAAAGAGGGAGTCGAGCCTCGGTTCACGGTGCTATTTATATGGACCGAGGTGGGCCCACATTGTAGGCGAGGGATAAACCAAATAGTGAGAGCCTTAAAGGGCAGAGCCTATACGAAATAGAACGTGGATACAAGCGGCCGAAATGAGTTTCCTCCGCAGGGTGTCTGGGTTCTCCCTTAGAGACAGAGTGAGAAGCTCAGTCATCCAGAAGAGACTCAGAGTGGAGCTCGGGCCTCTGGTTAAGAAGCCTCCTGGACGCCTCCCTGGTGAGGTGTTCCGGGCACGTCCCACTGGGGGAGGCCCAGAGGAAGACCCAGGACACACTGGAGAGATTAGCTCAGCTGGCCTGGGAACGCCTTAGGATTCCCCCAGAGGAGCTGGCCCAAGTGGCTGGAGAGAGGGCAGTCTGGGTCTCTCTGCTTAGGCTGCTGTCCCCGCAACCCAACCCTGGATAAGCGGAAGAAAATGGACAGACGGACGGAATGGAACACAGCATGTGCTGTTGGTGTTCGGCTCATGTTATGATGTCATTATCCTGAGACAATAGCAACTGCTAGTGCTCCAATGCAGCTGATGTCTGAGTTGCACTTCAAACTGCTGGACCACAGGGACCATCATATTGTTTTTTTATGAAAACATTTTAATATTAGATTTTAAATATTATCTTCAGCAGAGTTAGAAGTGTTAGCAGATGTTAATGCCAGATAACCAGGATGTCATCATCCTGCGAGAAACATCTACAATGGCTGTGTTTCAATTCAGGGGCTGGGTCCTCATGAGTGCGTCATAATATTACGAGATTAAACTAAGCATGGGTCAGAGCTGGCTGAGGGGCCGCACATTTTCATGTCAAGTTTGAGTTTTGTAAATCACAACCTTTGTGTGAAAAGTGGCGTACGCAAGTTTCTGGGCTCGTTTTGTGCGTACGCAAGCTTTAGAAATCCGACCCCTGGATTACTACAGATGAAGCTAAAACAGCTGAGACTCACTTAGATTGAGGCGTCCATGTTTCGTACCAGCTCTGCTTCTGTACCAAGGAGAAGGCCAGGACCTGGAAGGCCAGGCAGGTGAGGATCTGGGTCAGAACGGAGAAAAGCAGTGGGCCTGAGATCAGACTGGAGGGCGGGCGACGCCACACCAGTTCCTTCCACGCTGCGTTCAGACTCACTGCAGACAGACAGACAGACAGACAGACAGGAAGCTGTGAGCGACGCACCTTCCTGTTGCTCGGCCTTCAGACTATGGCATACTGAAAACTCTTTAGCCACTAGCTGTCACGCCACTCACTTGTAAAGGCGATGATGAGAATGATGACGAGGTCGATGAAGAGAAACTGGAAGTCTCCCAAGTTGCTGAGAATCTGTATGAAGAGAAAAGTTTAATATGATTTAAAAAACCCAAACAATAAAAGTTATCCATAACAATCAGCGGTGAGCACAGCTAACCAAAATATTAGCTTCACTAACATCTCAACCACAAAATCATCCTTAGTTCTGCTAATGATTAACAGCTAAACATGTATATAAAAGGCCCCAGTGTTCAGTTCCCTCTGTATCCCCCTGGCTCAGACAGTGTCAGATTTAGTCATCAACCAAACTTCCAAACAGAAATCAAACCAAACATAAATGTGTAATGTGACAAACGTAAGTCAACACAACTCAAAATGTTTCATAGATCACTGATAAAAATGTCCATGACTCTTTTAGAGGTGAAATTTGAGAAAATTATTTATTTTATAAACCAGGAGGCGGAGCRACAACTTCTGACTGAAACCAGAAGAGCAGATGGGAGAGGAGAAAAACAAGAAGTGACAAATTACAGCCTTTCAAATTGTATTTCTGCTAATTTAGGTCCTATATTTAAAGGGGACCTATTATGCAAAATTCACTTTTTAAAGGTTTTTTTTACTCAACTTTGGGTATGTACTTCTTAAAAAAACATTCCTAGGACCAAAAAATGCAGCCAGGGGCATATTTACTGCAAGTAAATGTATATTAATGACAAGTTTTATACTTGCATCATTTTGTGATGTCACAAGCCGTACGACAACCCACAGGAACCTGCGTTCAGCCCCTTACCTAGCAACCCCCGGCTGAGACTCCACCTCCTCAGTATAAAAAGCCGTCACCATATTGTTGTGCAATGCACAGCTCATTTTACAACAAGCCTCCAATAGGGCAATGTGTGTGAGTGTTGGACCAGAGAGTGGGAGACCAGGGTTCAAGACTGGCGCAAACACAATTTAATTATTTATTTATTTTCGTTCGTTATGAACACGTTTTCTCATGTACCTCTATTGTTTAGCTTATTAAAGCCTTGTTAAAGCCTATTTGTTCGAGTTTCTGAGGTATTTTGACTGCTGCTGCTGCTCCTTGCTCTGGTAACAGCATGCAGAGTGAACGCAGAGCAGAGGGGGAGAAAAAATCAAAAGAAGCTGCCACCACGACTCTGCCTCTGGGTCTCATATGGTTGTACAACGGAGCTTCTGCTATTACTGTATGCTAATGTAAACGCTGTAAACGCTGGCTTTGGAGGGCAGAGTTAATGTCAACAGATTTTTGGAGGGCGTTACCAACAGAGCTCATTAACATAAACAGCTTTTCTGAACGGAAGTCAGAGCAACCAGAACTAGAAAATGGGAAATTTTATTATCTGAGAATTATTTTGTGCATTAAATTGAATGAACATGGTCTGGATAGCCCACAGACATACCATAAAAATTTCTAGGACCCATAATTGGTCTCCTTTAAACATTATTAACACAAACCGAACATTTGTATGTTTTGGACAGTGACTGCTCAGGATTGCTCATAGCCTTAAGCCATTACACGTCACTGTCACACTAGAAAACTTATGCCAACTTATGAACATTTTAAAGCAGCGGTCTCCAACCTTTTTTCCTTGAGAGCTACTTTCACAAAATAAAATTGTCCGTGAGATACTTATTGCAACACAATTTTAAACTTAATCTTAAACCATTTCAATAAGCTTGTTTTGCACGAAAAACATTGTCATCTTCAATTCACATGAAACCACCACGAATAACACTGAATTTACATGAATGTGCTTTTTGTGTTTATCCATTTATATTATATTGTATTTCACAACTTAGGGTTTAACTGCAACAGATTTGTGCACAAATAATGTTGGGCGATGGGTATCCAATTTTTTTTTTCACATTGTGGTCTCCAGCAGGAATAAACCCCCTGTAGTGACATTTACCGCATGGGAGGGGTTTCCCAGGAGTTTGGCATGGTGTGTCTCAACACTGTAAAAAATGAAATGTTGGATTTACTTAACCATGTTATGTGACCTGGTTCCACTTAACTAAGTTGAGCAAATTCAAAGCAATATACCAGTTTTTTAACCAAAGAACATGAGCATGTCAGAGATTTGGAATAAAGTTTTTAGAAGAAAGTCAACTGGTTTTCTGCTATTTTATTTAGACTTCCAATTTATTGGTTAGGATTTTCTTACAACGCTATTAGTTATTAGCTGTTGTTTTGAAACACAAACAACAAGCAAACAAAACTGTACTACATATCTAGTTTTAAAATGTTTATATTTATGATGACAAAAAGCAATGATTCTTCCAACTGTTATAAAACAAATTGTTTTTTCCCCTACAATAAGAGATCTTCTCGGAGTTTGGCTTCAGGTGTCTGAGGAGCCATCCACAATGAAATGTTTTCTTTAAATAATGCAAAGCTCTTTCAGTGTTTCAGTCTTGAATCCAGGTGTAAACAGGGATTTTTGGAGACCAACACAAGTCTTGCTTTATAAGCTTCTTCCACATCCTGAATTCTGGTTCCCTTTCAGTCAATTCACTCGGTACATCATGATGTATGGGAACCCACGCTCCTGTGTGTCCTGGCTGAAGCCACCTCTAATCACGCCTTTAGGCAGGTGACGTGATGACGACAGATGTCAGGCTCCGCCTGCACATATATATATACTGTCGCATCACAGTCACTCCTCAATTCTACTGCTCTTCACCTCGCTAGAACACCTCTCCCAACTTAGCTAATTAGCTGCTGCTAATTAGCTTTGTTTGCTCGAAGGGTCTTGAATTTAGTTTAACAGCTTTTGTTAGTGTTAGCCACAGCTGCCTACTGGTAACTGTGTCTGCCCGCGGAGCGCTAACTTTGAGACGCCTTTTTTTTCTTTCATATCGACGGAGTGATTTTTGTGGTTCGGGATGAGCACAAAATTACTCAAAAAGAAGCAGAAGTCTTCAGTTCGCCCCTGTCCCCAGGGGTGCGGCTTCTCGCTCCATGAAAAGCGACCAGCACGAGGCTTGCCCGGTCTGTTTGGGGATCGTCCATGCTCGTAGAGCGTTGACGGAGCCCGAAGCGTGTGCGTTTTGCCGCCTGCTTCGACGCCCAACCCTGGAAAGATGGGTTAAGTTCTTGGAGAAAGTGCTGGGCGAGGCTGCAGTCGTGCGCCAGGACCCTTTCCTCTCCGAGTCTAGCAACCCGGTTCCGTCTGAGTCTGACGAGGAGGAGCTCTCAGTCGAAGTCCCRGCTTCCAGCTGGGCAGACCAACTGGAGTATATGGAGGGGTTAGCCGACGAAAAGGAGGAGGCCTCCCAGTTTCATCTGGACCTCCACCACGGAGGCGGCTCAGAAACTGGAGGTGGAGTGGCACGCCCCCCCCTCCTGCACAAAAACCGTCGAGGTTCACTGGATTTTTCCTCCCCACTGAACCGACCACGGTGAAGAACCGTCTTCCCATGTTCCCAGACTTCATCTCAGAGCTAACGTCCTGCTGGACCAAACCTCTGTCCACCCGCGTCACAGTGCCCGGCTATGGACCGTATTTGGACTTGGAAGGAGCTGAAAAGGCTGGACTGGTAAACATGCCCCCCATGGAGCCGTCCCTGGCAGCTTATCTGGCCCCGTCTCACAACCAAGGTGTGAGCGGGCCCACCACGCTCCCTTCCAAGCCCTGTAGATTTTCTGCTGCGCAGTTAGAAAAAATCTACAAAGCTCAGGCCACCGCTGCTCGCAGCCTGAGCTCCATCAACATGCTCCAGACTTACCAGGCTATGGCTCTGGCGGAGCTCGGAGCTCAGGTACCGGCTGAGAGTCCCCTGCTGCCTCTCCTAAACGAGATCCGACTCACCGCGGACTACATCCTCCGTGCGTCCCGCAGCATAGCGCTCTCCCTGGGCAGAGGGATGGCTTCAACCGTGGTGGCGCAGAGACATTTGTGGRTGACACTCTCTGATGCCCCCGACAGAGACCGGGCCACATACCTGGATGAACCAGTTATGGCGGCCGGGTTATTTGGTCAGTCTCTCGACGTCATCCAAGCAAAGTTCGAGCTGAGGAAGAAGCAGGCAGAAGCTCTGCGCTGCATCATCCCCAGACGGGACTCGAAACCCAAGACCAGCACTCAGAAGCCGGCCACACAGCCGCCTCCGGCAAAGAGAACGGTGCTGCCTGGGAGCTTAGGCTCCCAACCACCGCAGCCTCATCACCACGGCCAACCCCTCCGCCAGTCGGCTTGGAGCAAAGGCCCCCCTCCTCCGGGTGCTCAGAAAGGCGCGACGCCGCGGAGGAAGAAGACGCAGTCCTCCTAACTGTGGGACCGTCACTGCAGGGACTTCAGGACCAGGGAGACATGTTCGCCAGTTTTTGGCTGCCGCCCAAGCGACATTTTGTTTGTACTGTTCAGGAAACCAGTCCCAAGAGGCGCTGCGTTTCTATAACACAGTCTCCCAAGCACCAGTCCCACCCCACACACACAGTGTTTGCACAAGCCCCCAGTTTGGGTGCACCACATGTTCACAACACAAATGTAAAAAATTGTGTGTTAATAAAGGGAACACCCCAAAAACAAAAAAACAAACAAATCAGAAAAATTGTGAGCGACAGTCATATAATGCTGCGCCTCTCTCACATGACAGAGGGCAGCAGGACTTCGCT